AATTGTCTTGTTCCATTTGTAAGGTGTCTCACTTTCCTCCTCAATTCAAGAAAAAAAATCCCTTATTTTAAGAAAAAATTACTTGAATAGATTAAAATGTTTTGCAGTGTAAAGATAATCTAATGTATCATAAATTCTGGGCTAAGTGCATATTTGTGCTATTGTCTTCACTTTGAGGATTTACAGCTAATGAAATAATATGATAAAAAATATAATAAATATAATAATTAAGACAAAAGGGTAAATAATGTTCTACACAGAATCATGCCTGCAAACCTGAAAGGATAGTGAGCCACAAACCTTTATTGTTAACAGTTGCTGTATTCCTCGCTTGGACAAAGGATGGATATATTTTTTTTATATATATCAGTGGTCCATAATTTACATATGTTTAAAGCAAATTAGTTTCATTCAAAATTTTAATTTATAGACTGTGGAGGAAGAATGGAGAGGCATGTAATCCAAACTGCTTTAGAGCTGTTAAGGAATGTTCACGGTTAGTGGGGGTTTTGTTGATGTCATTTTCTGTTGTTGTTAAGCCTAAGTCAGCATAGCTTTCTTCCACCTTTACAGATCATTTCAGGCCTCCCTGAGCTAAAAGGTTTAAAATAGATGCTGATTTCATTTTTCCAGCAGGACTTGACCCCAACACTACTGAAATTACTATTAATGACCATGTTATTATTAGACTTAATTGACAAGGAACCTCCGCTGACCCAAACCCCATAGAAAATGTATGGAGTAATGGTTTAGGTAAGATGAAAGACACCAGACCCAACACTCCAGACAATCTGAAGGCTGCTATTATAGCAATCTGCAGAGCCACAGATCAGTCACCTCCATGCCACACTGCATTGATGAAGCAATTTGGCAAAATGAGCACAAACGAAGTGATTACACTGAAAATGTATTGAGATTCAACTTTGTAGGATGTGAATATTTTAGGAAGCAATTGAATTACAACTGATAAAATGTTGGGCAATTTTCAAACAACTTTAAAAGCTTCTCCAAGAAATGATAGATTTTCTCCAGCGTGCTTCCATATGACAGCCCAACGTCATCTTGACATTTCCAATCTTTGTGGTATTTTCTAACAACGTGGGCCAATCTTCATTTAATAGCTCTCGCACCTAATTAGGCCCGCTCTAATGTTCCACTCGGCAGAGTGTCAAATCCAATGTCCAATTACACAGCAGATCAAGGCCAAAGGTCCGCCTCCGCTACGTCTCAAGCTGATTATAGAAGAAGTGCCATGATATACACACATTGGGAAAAGAAACAGGTCTGTCAGAGGAAGGAAAGAAAAGCCTGCACTATCGCGTATACACTCGCATATAAAGGGATCAATACCAAAAGCAAAAAGGCTGAGGGACTAAGGGTGGCTTTCTCAAACCCTGCTTGTCTCTTTCAGACAGAGTGCCTCTGTTACACCAAGCAAACACACAAAGGCTCCTCAGTGCACAACGAAGAATCAAAGGTCGAAACATTACTAGAATGCTAAAATAAATGAAGTCAAATCAAATATTGCAGCAGTGTGATTACTTTGAGTTTTGAGTTTGAAAAATAAAGAGAACCCATCTGTTGTTGTGTTAATAGGTTTACTGGCATCTCTTTTTATGATTAACATCCTTCTGACACTCAACACAGATGGCTCTGCTCCCCTGTTAAATACTGGAATTGTCACCAGATGCTAAACACTGTGCGTGGGTTTCACCTGGATATGCAGCAACAGGATAAACAATCTGTGTTCATGTGTATCAGAGCTGAAGACCTCCCGGAGGCAGCCTTTACGAGTGGAGATGGTCTGCGACGAATGGTTTGACAACTAAATGACATGTGACTGTACTAAAAGCCAAGCAGCCTAATGGTTAAAAGAAGAAAGAAAAAAAAGTTTTCCTTAAAAGCAAAGTTTGAGAGGAGGCAGCATGCTTTAACTCACTCAGCTACACAGCAATGCATCACTTGAGAACAATGAACAATACAACAGGTGATGCGTTTTTAGGAAATCGATTGGAAGGTGTCACGATCCAGTTTTTGTTCCACTTTTTTTTGGAACAAAACTTTCTTTTTATTGAGATGAAAACTTTGTGCCTTTAAAAAAATTAGCAAGCATCTGTGAACTTTAGAGGAGAGTTGGAGGGCACTACACCGCTGGGGTGGGTCGAGGCAGCGGGTTAGAAGTGGGGTAAAGCAAGAGGGTGTGTGTTTGTGTGTAGGTATAAGGAGGAGACTGCAGTGGTAATTGCAAGGAAAGAGGCATGTGCACGAAGGACGTTGAAGCTTATTAAAGGAGGAGACAGAGTGATTATTCACTATGGTCCTCTTGAGACTGACGCTGAAGTCATTGCTTTTAATTAACTCTGAAACGGTTTTTGCAGATTAATAACAATATTAAGAAGGGAACTGAAAGGAGAGGAGCAAACATATCCTGGATCTGGTTCAAGCTTTTTAATTACAATTAAATCGACAAGATGGCACAATAGCACAATAACTGCGTCTTTTCTTATCCCCTTCGCTTAAAATTTGTCTTCATTGCCAGGTCCCCGGAGAACATGTCCAAGAGAGATTACAGCAACACATCGATTCATTAAGGCGACTTTTAGATCCTCGGCTCAGAGTCAAGAAGCACAAGCATTGAAGAAAGCAAAAAAAAAACAAGAATGGCTTACATGTTCATGTCTGGCCCAGAAGATTGTCAAAGTTCTGGGGAAATTGCTTGAATTGTTCTGTGGCTTTGTACCAAGTAACAAGAAGCACAAGTGAAAGCTAAGAAAAAGAATGCAACCTAGCGATTAGGAAGGAGTAGAAGCTGAGGTGAAAACATTGCTGTGCAGGTTCTAAAAATCCCAACACTTCGCCATGTCCAAAAGATGATAAAATACCGGTATTGTTCACAATTCCCATACCTCCTTTGTCCCCCTCTCACACAACAGCTTTTTGCAGTTTTAATGAGCTGAGTAAAGCACAAGCAAGGCTGCCGGAGCTTCTGCTCGACTTTCAGCACTTTATCAGTGAAGAAGTATAAGTTGGACAAATATTTATAACCATTCAAAGTCATTTACACAAAGTAATACTCAGAGGGCTCTTCCATTAAACCCAGCACACCACCTAATAAAAACAGCGAGAGGACTACTCATTTATGCATAAGGTGTGGGTGCATGGGACAGAGGAGGACAGAGACAGAGCAGCAGTTGCCACTTTTTAAGCATTACCTGGGTCTATGGAGATGAGCACTATGCTGCTAACTTAAGTACCTCCACATCTTCCTCTTGAGATTGGAATGAGGCTGGAACAGAAGGGGTTTTTATAGGAACATATGTTCTTTCCCCCCATTCTATATATCAGTGCTTTTACACCCACCCATAAACATTACTGTTGAGTAAGGCATTATACATAGAAGGTGATTGCTATAACTCTCTATAAGAATATAGTTAGGGGTGAAGGAATAAACCTCTGCCTTTTTTAGTCAGGCTGAGAGTTCAAGCTGATATCAGCTCTGTAAACCCACCAGTGTTAAATCTGGTTGTAATCTTCTGAGTATATCATAAAAGGCAAATACTCTTTAAAAAGTTTTGATCGAAAACATGGCGTCTAAAGTTGGTTTTCTTTGAAGCAATTGTCATGATTTATTTCCAGTTTTTTTACTCTTTCCCTCAACAAACGAGGCTAATAGCCTCTAAAACGGTTTTGTAATTTATTGTAAGAATCAATCTATGAGAGACTTGATGTGCTGAGAAAGATTGAACGTCTTCCAGCAGCTGTATTTCTGATCACATCAGTGCGTCTCTGTGTGCATAATTCACTGTGATTTTATGTGACATGAAACAAAGAGCAGCTGAGCTTCTGCAGCATAAATTTTAAGATTAAAGACACATTTTCGGAAGGGTAATTCAGTAAGACATCTGAATTTGTCATTTCTAATAACTTCACATGTAAATGGTAAAAGCACCTGAAATTGTTAGATTTGGGGGTTTTGCCCTATTTGAGATCACTGTAATTAAGTAACTAATTAGTTGTCTTTTTTGTGTGATTTATGTCAGGAAGGATCCACACATGTAGATAAGATTTATTTTCAGTGCAAAAAACATTTAGAAAACTAAGCATTTTATAGTCAAATTTGCTGGCGCCATTTGAAAAGAAAAGATGTGCTGGATAGCTGGAAGTTTTGAAGTGTACATGCGCCTGTGGAGAGAACTCCTCAGGGCGCACAATACAATTAGAAAATAAAGCATCAAATAGGATGGGAAAAATCACATAAAGGCTTTTAATTCGACCTTGAAAGTGGATGCGAGGGTAAAGCACCGGACTCCGTCAAGCTTTCCTTGGATGTTGCGCATTTACTTCCCTTTACTGAAGCAGTTTTTACAAAACTTAATCCGTCACAGAAAAAAATGCGACTCCACACATAATATTAATGATAAAAACAGAACTGATAAATTAATCATAAAAAATAAAAGTCAATAAAGGACTAGAAGACATCATTGCGTTTTTTGTGTTTTTTTTTTTTTGTTTGTTTTTTGCAGCCTTAAAATAATATCTCAGTATCTCCCCTCCTAAGTGATGCAAAGGACGGTTTCCTGTTACAAAGAACTGCCGATCAGCTGTTCTAATTTCCAACAAACGGACCAGGCAAAAAGAGGATCTCCGGAGCGCTCTCAGCGCACAGCCCGCACCATCCCCTGGATTTAGACGCGCGTTTATCTCGGGACGCATCAGTCTAGGAAGATACGCTTTGCAACCAGTTATCACTTCTGCCTCTTTCTTTATTTTTATATAGGCTATATATTTTCGGTGTTGATTTTATTTTTATCTCTGGGCTTGATGTGCGCCACAGCTTTGCGCTTTTATCTGGACTACAAATGCTGCGCTTCCTTTCACAATATCCTTTTTTATGTTGAGGCTTTCTGATGACTTTGGACACACATGGATCTTTAAGCAGGAGCGCCACATAGGAGAAAAGAAGGAACAACAGAAATCAGCAAAACTTTTAAAGTACTCACTTGACCGTTCTTACAGAGGTCTGCCCACATGCTTGTGCCATCCCCTCCTCTCATCAGCACATGGTAGATGAAGAAGTAAGTACCAGGTATGCTGCAGATGAACTTGCCAGAAATGCCATCGTAGTTGTTGCCAAGATTGGTGACCACGTCGTCAAACTTTAGGATCTCGTAGCCTTCATGGGGGTTTTTAAGCCCAGCGTAGAAAGCCACCCGGGGAACTGTGCTGTAGGTGGCTGTGCTGATAGCTCCGTTACCCCCAAGACCCAAAATCCCAGTCCTTCCATGATCCCCTCTGTCACCAGGGGGTCCAGCTGGCCCTGGTGGTCCTGGTTCACCAGGTGGCCCAGGTGGTCCAGGTGGTCCTGGTGGTCCGGGCTTTCCTGGCCTGCCAGGTTTTCCCTGCGGGCCCTGCTGCAGGGTGGACGGTGGTAGAACATTGCTGTGGTCAGTCAGTGCCTCTGCCTCACCCTGCAGACCAGTGGAGCTGGTGCTGCTGGCCGGAGTGCCCTTGTTCAGGTAAGGATCGCACACCATACGACAGGTGCCCAGCATCTCATAATGGCTGGCATCTGTACTCACGGAGCTGACAAGCACTGGGATGAGCACCACCAGCACCAGGACCAGCATAACCCCCACAGCAGCCGCCACCAGGGTCTTCCTCCCGATGCTGAGTCGGGGAAGGGGCTGCGCAGCCAGCGTGGGTCTCCCGGGGGCGGAAATGGTGACTGTTTAGTGTGGGGAGCCTGTCACCGAGGAAAGGGACCCGGAGATCCCAGAAAGAGTTGCAAGAGGAGTCGCGAGTGTGTGAGGGTGAGACAGAGACCCACATACACTTAATACAGCTCACTGCTCCACTCAGTCATACTCAAGTAGGCAAGCAGTCACTCAAACATAGAAAAATACTTAAGGAAACCCAAGCATACACAGGGAGACATTCAGCGCGTACTTACAAACACAATGTGACTTGTGAGAAGAAGCAAGAAGTATGCAGAGCCCAGAGGAATGGAGTGAGAGACAGAGGGAGCGAGACAGAAGGAGGGAGAGGGAGAGAATAATGAGAGTGGGTGAGCATGAGAGATACAGAGCAGCCACTGTGAGTGTGTGTGTGGATGTGTGTGTGTGGTTAGTTGGTGCCGTGCTCTCAGACTTGGCTTTTTATATGGCAGTAGCTCCAGAGACCCCACACCCACCCTCTTGCTCCCCATCGCTTAAAAGGTTGGTGCGGTTACGTCCCCTTTTCTCTACGGCTAGCTCAGAGGAAGGACTCGCCGACTTGCAGCCTCCTGAAACACAGAGGAACCAACACAACGCCATGGCCACCTCGCTCTCCCTCTTCACTTTCCTTTCTCCCTCCTTCCCCCACTTGTGATGTTGTTCTCACCCTCTTGCTTTCTATTCTCTCTCATCAACATCCAGCCTCTAAAAATAAAGATGGAGCAGTGGAAAGACAATCCTTTCTCTCTTTTTCTCTTTTCCTGGAGGTGGGCTCTAAAGATTTATGCAGATATGTGTAGACACAAAACTTAAATGCATGGGGCCTGGAAATACTAACCGCTCCTCCGAGAGAAAAAAGTGCTAATTAAAGAAGTTGCCAAATACTGAGAACAAAGTCATAGTCCAGCAACTCTTTGCTCATACTGATAAAGTTTAAATCACATTAAACACCAGAATGGAATCTCATGTACAACTAAGGCTAAGTTCCTCTCAGAGTTTTTTATTTCTCTCCCTGTCCGTAAGCATGTTTCTCTAACTTAATCTACCAAAGTGAGTTCTTATTGGTTGTTTTAGAGCATCGATTCCATGGTTTTATCAAACCAAGGATCTTGTTTTGGATGAAAGAAATCAATAAGGAGCAATGATGTAATTTGTTTGACATTTTCATTCCTGGTTGTGATGAATGGTAAAGTTTGTAGATGGCAAACATTCATTATGAAGGGTATGTTAAGTTTACAAAGGCTTAGGTATTCTGTGGTTGTGGTCTAATACATTTGGGAAAGCAATATGGATGAACAAAGGCTGGATGGACATAATTAGTTTTATGAACAAATTGCTGGTGTAAGAAAAGACAGTGAAGGATGGAATCTGTAGTGATATTTAGCCTTTAGAACTTCAATACGATTCAATACAATGTGCAATAATACAATTTTTTTTTTTTACCGTATGGATGTGCATACAGTGCTATGAAATTAATGCCTCAAAATTGTTTTCTTCTTTATTTGGTTTTTTTTTTGCACTCATGTTTTAAAATATGAAATACATTTTCATTAACAGAAAAAAATAACTCAAGATGAAAAAACTGCAGTTACATAGCACATAAAACATAAATTACTAAGGTGGAAAAGCTATCCATTCATGGCCTTTTGTGAAAATATATAAATACCCAATTTATTAAACACATAATTAGCTGTGATAAATCCCATTCCAATGCCTTCAAGGAAACAGCATACTGACAGTAGTGCAATGGTCTGGCAGGCTTTGATGCTTCAGGACCTGGATGAATTGCATTTGGCTTATAATAGTAACTGGAAAAATTAATAGAAGCAGGAATTCTCATATCTCTTTAATAAAATCAGTGAGTAATTTCAGCCATTACTAATAACCTGAAACTATAACTCTCATGGATTTCTGTTGCAAGACTGGACTAAAAACAGACCAATAAGTTAAGATGACTGCGATGGACTGGCGACCTGTCCAGGGTGTACCCCGCCTCTCGCCCGTAGACAGCTGGAGATAGGCACCAGCACCCTTCGCGACCCCAATTGGGACAAGCGTGTCAGATAATAGATGGTAAGATGCCATAGAGGCTAAAAATCCTCCAATCTCCCTGAATTTAATAATTGTTTATAGAGAGGGCCAATGAAAAAGGACTCTTTGTGTAATAAATGCCTGATGGCTGCTGTTAGCCTACCCAGCCAGACCAATCTACACTGTGTACATGGGCATATTATTCTGGAAAGGAGCAGGTAGAGCCAGATTTTAAAGGCAGGAACAAAAGAGTCAGCGGAAAACATTTTAAACCTGTAAGATATATTATATATATTTTTAAAAAGAAAAGCTTTTACAACAGCTATTAGTTGAAATTTAAAGATACAAACAGCTTTGCAGCACATAATACATCAATAAAACATTGCTCCATTGCAGCTGCAATCTTGACTGTTGGGGTTACACAAAAGCAGTTTTGCATTATAGGTCCACCTCCTGCACTGTGATTGGCTTAGGTCTGTTTTAGTCCGGAGAGTATTGAGCCTTACCTGACTCACATGTCCTGTGTATAAGTCAGTCTGGCTCACCGTGCTAGACAGCTGCTGCCCTGAGTGTAGCACAACCAGGTAATAATTCTAGAGGACAGTTACTTTCCACCAAAGGGTCAGGTTGGCAAGAGTAGCTTTTTCTCTTAATATTACATTAAATGTTTATTTGTAAACTGTATTTTGCATTCAGATGTAGTTTTATTTGAAATAATTTTTCACTCTGAAATATTTACAGTTGGTGAGGAAAAAAATAAAACAGAAGAAACCAATGTCTACAGAAATGTTAAATATTGCTTTAGAAATAAATAAATAAATAAAAAATAGAAAATGAGAAATATGTAAAAAAAAACAAAAAATCCACTAGTTCACTGAAACTTATTTTAGCTGTGAAGTCAGCTTGCATGGCCAGTGGTCTGTAAAAATCTGCCAGCTCTTAGTTTTCTCATATAGTTGCCTATTTCTGGCTTGGGACAGTTTGTCCCTGAGCTGGACAGAGATCTTGTGATGGATTGAGATGGATCAATGGGCAGCATGGCTGATTATTTGTCACCACTACACTTGACATATGGCCAGTTATTTTGCAGCATTTCCGATTCTTCATCATCATTAAACTTCAGACACACATTCTTGGAATCATTGGATGGTTGTCCCATTTATCACCTAGCAGAAAGTATGATTCTCAAATAACTGGCACGCAGGTGTGACTTGGATGCATATTTGCCTGATTTGTTTTTTTACTTCTCATAACAGTCATCAGGTTTGTCTATATGAGGAAGCACACAGACCTAAATTGGTTTTGGGGGGTTTGTTTAAGGGGGGCTTTGTTTGTTCTTCACACCTGCCGGCAGTAACTGCTGGTCATATTGCTGAGGGCTAAATATCTATGAACCACAGAGATCAAAGCACATATCAGAGGACAAACAGAGAGTGATTGTGATGAAAGCGAGATGAAAAATGGATATGAAAGTAAACGAAAAACTAAAAAAAATGTACAAACTACAAAAGTCAAATGCTGTAACAGCTTATCATTGTATCACTTTATGTGGTTTGTTTTGCATGAGGAAATGCTATGCAGGAGGAAAGAGATTATGAGAGCAGGTTGCCAAAGAAGGATGTCTGAAATACCTGAACATATCTTAATTTATTCTGTGATATGTTATTTTTTAACTTTTATTTTAGAAAATAATTCTAAAACAAAGAAAACTATTCTAGACAAGTTGCTCGTTAACAATGAACCAACATACCTGTCAACAGGTTCAAACGTCTGACTGAACATTTCCTGAACATTACAGAAAACAGTTGATTTCAGTGATTATTGCATCTTTAGTTCAGGAGCTCCATCAGGCTTGTTTACTTGGTGTATTTATTCATTTTATGTTTTCACTTCCATGGTTTATTATTTTATTCATAATTAGTTTTGTTAATTTACTTTTCAACTTACTATATATATGCATATAGAATGCAATATGAACTAAATTACTCTGTTTTTTCTTATATCTACAAGAATCTTGAATTTATTTAGTTTAATTTAAATACATCTGTTAATAGCACAATATATTTTTTCTTGTAATTTTTTTTATTATGGAATATGTTATAATAAATAACAAAATAATAATTAAAGGTCTGAAGTTGAGCCCTGCATTAATGGATGATGGGTTAAACATACCTTTTTGATTTTTCTTTTTATAATTAGATCATTTTATTAATTATATCTCCGCATTATATTCAGAGTTATTTATAATAAATAAGGTACAAAACTTACGTATATACCAATTGCTGTAGAGAAATGCAGTTTAGAAATTGCCACCAGCTGCCTTCACAACCTCATATTCAGGCTTGTTTTTAACTAAGATTAAAATACAAAATGGTAAATTATTTTTTTACTTGTTAGGTATTGTTTTCTCCCTATTTGCAGGTTAACTAGTGATTCCCAGAATGTCTAATAGTAGAATGGGCAGCATACATTAAAGTTATCAAATAAATTAAATTCAATTGAACTGAAATGAATTAACCAGCAGTTACTTTACTTATTTAGAATTTATTCACTGGTATCCGACTAAAAGGGACTGAACAAATGTATGCCACATATCTTTATCTGAAATTGATTTTTTCTGATTAATTTTGAAATTATTAACTTATTTGAGTTGGTACATTTGTTAAAAAGCCTTATATAGCTCTTCTAAGGTTTTAATTGTACTATCAGAGCTGGTTTAAAGAAAAAAAGGACTCCAATATTTGCACATTTGCTGGATTAAGGCAGTGACAGCATAAGACCTTATGTGCATCTGGGAGATGCCACTGGGTGAGTAAATAGCAGGATTAGAAAACCTGGGGACTAGAGCAGGTTTTATTGCACTTTTTGTGCTTTTAGTGATGTGCTTAAAATGTGATAATTGGCTGATAAACATTCTTTTTATCTTTTATCTTTTTTTAAATATTTTATTTAATCAAAGCGTTTCTGAAAAAAAAAAAAAAAAGAATCAAGCTAAAAAGATTTTTTTTTTTCAAGTTATTTAAAAAAAGTATAAAACCTGAAGAATATATTCCTTCAGGTTAAATGAAACACCATTTCAATCTCCAGAAGGGTATGTACCCAAATTCAATTCTTTTCAATTTATTTTCATTTATATAGGTCAGATACACAACACTAGTCATTATTACATTCTTAAAAAAAAAAAAAAAACAGATAAAATTCTCATCCACGGAGAATCTGATAATTTAGCCGAACACAGTATAGCTCCTAAAAGTTTTATTGAGAGATGTGTGTCAAATTGAAAGGCAAAAGATAACTGAACAGGCTGGTCCAGGTGGTGACCAGAATCTCAAGCTGATAAGAATCCAGTGAGTACAAAGCAAGTGATGCAGGAAAATACTGTGAATAAACCGCATGTTGGCAATGAGACAATCTGGCAAAGACAGACCAAGAGAAGCAGCTATTAATAGAAGATCCAGGTGAAGCATCTTCTTGTTAATCAGCAGCAGTGGTTGAAGTTATATACAGTGTAAAGTGCGGAAACACCCAGCAAGCCCGAAAAAAGGGCTGCATAACAAAGTGCATTGAGTAGATGCAAAATAAATAAAAAGTATTTTAGTTAGATTTAGTTTATTCTAATACA